TGTGTGGTTTGTGCGAGATGCGACACAGCCAACACCGTCACCTCCATCATAATCCTCCTCCCCCCTCCCCCCCACCCACCCTTCCCCAGCAACCGCCTCTTGCAAAGCGACTCGCGCGACATAGACAGAGATACTGCTCTCGACCAGCTAAGCATCGGCACATAGTGGCTTTGTGGTGATTAGTCATGGCCCGAAAGCGAAAGCGTGGTCGGAATGGAGGCGGGTCAGACAATGGTGGTCATGCCGGTGGTGGCGGTGGTGGTAGTGGCGGTGGCGGTGGCGTGGTTGATACTCGGAGAGACGGCGGGAGGGACGGGAGTGGCGGTGGGAGACGCCGCGAGTTGAGAAATGGTGGAGGACGGGCGGGGAAGGGCAAGGCTGGAGCGAACAGAGGTGGCGGTGGCGGTGGCGGTGGCGGTGGCGGTGGCGGTGGGGATGGCGGCGGCGGCGGGAAGCGGTCGGGCAAGAGCCAGTCGGGGAACGAGAGCCCGCGGTCGCGGAGGCGCAATCGAGGCAATCGCTCGTCGAGGTCAAGGTCGAGGGCCTCGACGACCGGTTCGGGCGCGGATGGGGAGTTTGCGCCGCCGGCCAAGCGAATCAGAGGCCTTGGTCGTGGCGGGAGCAGGGATGGGCCAGCGTCGGCCCGGCCTGCAGCGTCGACCTCGCCGTTTGTTCTCGCTGACGATCCGACGGTGGCGGCCCGCGAGGCAGCCAAGGCGTCACTGCTCTCGCGGCCATCGCGGCCGTCTTCGCCGGTCCCACCGTCGCCTCCGGCCATCGCTTCGCCGGTCGGGCGGCCCGGGCGGCCGGAGCTGACTGTCGGGCCTTACCGGCGCTCGGCCCGCGACTCCGAGTGGGACACACCGCGCGCAAGCCCGCGCTCGGGCTCATCCGGCTTTTCCTGGGCCAACAAGCCCGTCGACGACTTGACTGTCGACGAACGCATGATGAAGGAGGCGCTGGAGAGCTCGATCATTGCGCAGGAGGCGCGAGCTCGCGAGCGCGAGCGGCTCGACACCGAAGACGAGTTTGTCCGTCCGCCGGCTCCGCAGCATCCGACAAGCCTCGTCATGGAGCGCCAAGCCGGCGAGAGCGAGGACAAGGGTCTTCCCATGATCAACACTGACGATTCGACCGCATCGCTCCTGGCGCACATCAACAAGTCCGGCTCGATGCTCTCGCGGTCGGCATCGATCTCGCGGCTATCGCAGTGGATTGTCGAGGATGCTGTCGAGGACTCACAGTCGACGCAGGCAGCGGGCAGCAACGAGATAGCAGCTTCCGCACAGCCGGCGGCGCCGCCGTCGCTGTCGCCACCGCCGCCGTCCCCGCCACCGCAGGCCGCAGTCTCGGCTGCGCTGCTGGGCGGGCGGCCGACGCTGAGCCAGGAGCTCACGATGCGGCTGGATCGGCCGTCGCCACTGTCATCGATCTCGTCGTCGTCGGGCACTGCTGCTGCCAACGGTGGGGCAAGCTCTGCGCCGCCGCTGCCGGCCCGCGACGCGGCTGAGTGGGCAAGCCTTGTCCGTAAGATGCAGGCCCGCAACACAGCGCTACAAGAGAAGCTAGCGGCCGAGGTCGACTTGGTCATCTCGCTGCGGACCGACAACGCGCTGCTTGTGGACCGAGTTCGTGCGCTGATGGCCGAGCGCGACGCGATGTCGCGGCGGCTGGGGTCGGCCGAGCTGACGCCGACTGGCGGCCATACCGAGTTGTGAGCGCGCTTTACATAACCTACAGCGGCGTGACCGCGAGCTGGGCGCGAACCTCGTCGAGCGCCTTGTCGACTTGCGCCACCACGGCGTCGCTCTCGGCATACACACCCGACGCGAGCAGCGCCTCGCGCTCGTCGATCAGTCGCTCGAGGCTGGTAAGGAGCTCGTCGCGCGAGGCTGGCGCCGGCGGCGGCGGACTGTCAGGCGACGACGGCGCCGGCGATGGGCTGTTGAGCAGGCCAAAGACCTCGGAGCCTTCGGCAGCGAGGCTGTGGTCGTGTGGGCGCGAGCCGGCCGACTGCGCCGACGCCGCAGCAGACAGCTCGGCCTTGAGCGCGACCAGCTCCTGCTTCTCAAGCTGCATTGCGAGAGCGTGCTCGCGGGCGGCCGACGCGAGCTTGATCGTCTGCAGCTCGTCTTGCATCTTCCGCTGGTGCTCCTCAAGCATGCGTGCTACGTCCTCGCGGGCGTCAGCAAGGGCATGCGACGACGAGGCCGAGGCCGCGGCAGACGCACCGGCGAGCGCGTTCTCCTTCTCGCGATCCTGGAGGCGGGCGATCTCCTTAAGTGCCTTGACCCACTGGGTCCGGTAGTGCTTCTTGGCCGAGGCCACGTGTGCCTTCTCGCTCTCCAGCGTCTCGACCTTGGTCACCAACGCCTCCAGCTGGGCCTCCATCTGCAGAGTCGGCGAGCGGGCAACGTCAGCCTGCAACTTGCGGATGGCGTCTGTGGCAGCGTCAAGCTTCTTGGCAGCCTTGCGGGCGTCGGCCTTGGCGGCGTCGGCTTCGGCGCGAGCCCGCTGGAGCTGGCCTAGCACCTCGCGGTGTTTTGCGTTGAGCGAGTCGCGGAACCGGCGCGACTTGTCGTTGAGCTCGTCGACTCGGCGCTCATACTCGTCCTGCAGCGTTGCTGACCGGCGCTCGAGCGCCTGCTCGCCAGCCACCAGCCGCCGCTCGCGCTCCTGCACCTCGCGGAGCGCCTTGCGCATTTGGGCCTCGAGTCTGGCGTACTCGGCTCGCTTCCGCTCGTGGACCTGGATCCGCAGCTTCTCCTTCTCCTTGAACTTGGCCTGGAGCAGCGCGAGGTGCGCAGCCTCGCGCGCCTCCAGCTTGGCCTGGAACGCAGCCTCCTGTTCCTGCTTCCACACTTCGAGCTCCCATGCAGCGAGGTACTCGGGCGCGTCGCGCGGATTCGCGGGGCCAGTAGCGGCGGCTCGTGCCGGCCAATCATGGCGTGCCGGCGAGGCGGGCTCATTGCCCAGACCCTCGTTGCCAGCTGTGTCGCCTGCCTCATCGTCTGCCTCGTCCTTGTCCTTCTGTGGGCGCGCCTGCGGGTTGACAGTCGACGGCGGCGCAGCATGGGGGCCGTCGACTGGACGATCGTGGGTGGTGACGACAGCCGCGGCATCGGGCACCAGACCGCGAACCGGGGCGCCTGCGCGCGCGTCAAGCGACGGCAGGCCCGGCGGCGCGCCGCCCATGTTCTCCAGTGAGAGAACAACCCGGAGCTCGGCGACCCGAGTGGGCAGCGCCGCGGCGCCCGGCGCGTCGTCGTCTCCCAGCGAGGCGACTACGACGTAGGCGTCAAAGGTCCGGAGCTCGGTGGCTTCGCCGCCGGTACCGGCCAGCGAGACTGGCCCCACCGTGGCGTCAGCGTCGAGGACCGAGTCGAGGTGGACGGCGGCAATGCCCAGCAGAATATCCTTAACGTACTTGTCCCGGTGCCAGACCTCGATGTGCAGCGGCGCCGTCTCGAGGGTTGACCGAAGGAAGGCTTCTGACGCCACAAACTCGTACGCACAGAACGAGTTGGGCAGGAGCAGCTCCGAGACGGTGGTACCGGCCACGTGCTCGACGACAGGGTGAGTGGCGAACGGGGCGGCGGAGCCGAGCTCTGGGTATGAGTAGCGAATAAAGAGCGAGGCGGCTGGATAGTCGAGGTCCTTGATCGAACGCACGTCGATCGAGAGCCGCCAGCACCGCAGCGCGGCTTCAGCTTGCGCGACAGCTGCCATGGCCTGCCACTCGAGGAGCGAGGCTGGCGGCGGGGGCGGGCGCAGGCCCGGCGAGAATGAGGCCACAACATAGACAGAGCCGACCGCGGATGGCGCCTCGCCTTGCCCAGGCAGTGCCGCCAGCGGAAACGCGTCCTCAATGGTGAGCTCGGAGGCGACGCCGCCGAGCCGCTCGAGCGGGATGTGCGCCACTGCCAGCGCCGTCTCGCCGCAGCAGAGATACAGCTGGAGCGGCGAGAGCGCAGAGAGGACCTGCAATGAGAGCGACGGCGCGAGCTCAAGCCGGATCGACGCCCGCTCGATAGCAAAGACCGGTGCGACAAGCGAGTCAAAGACCTCGGTCATGACGTCGTTGCCGAGGAACGAGTAGTAGAAGTAGAACGGCCCGTGCGGCGCGGCGCACCGCTCGCGAGCGAGCGACTCAAACGCGTCGAGCGAGTGCGTGCCACCGACCGTAAGCGAGAACAGATACGGTGCCCCGCCCTTGTCGATGACATACACCCCGTCATGATCCCGAAGACGGACCCTCAGTCCAGCGACCTCCATGTCCTGGCCTGGCTCGCCGCCGCCGACATCAACATCTCCGCCAGTGCCCGCTTCGTCAGCAGCCTCACCACTCCCGGGCGTTGACTCGAGCTCGACATTGATGGCACAGAGAATCTCCGGCTTGTCGTGGCCGTACGCCGACGATTGCAGCTGGGCGTACGCCGGCAGCGCCCGCTTCATCGCCGCCCGCCGCAGATCCAGCAGCACAAAGCCGACCATCTCTTCCGGCTCGCCATCGCGACGAACCACAACCTTGAGCTTGAATGGTGCCCGTGACTTGCGGAGTTCGGCAAGGCGCTCCGACTGAAGGATGAGCACGGGCGTGGGCGTGGGCGAGCGGAGGTGTAGGGAGGGAGGGCGGGGAGAAAAAGGTCGTAGTCGGGGCGGAAAAGGGTCGTCACGTTGGCGAGGGAGGCGGCGAGAGCAGCGAGATATGGACGGGTGAGTGGGATGTGGGAGAGAGGGA